ATATGCTTTTAGGGGAGCGGCCATTTTGTCGGGCAGCTTGGTCTCATTTTCAGGAAATGTGAACTCAACCGTAATTATGGTGTAGCGGTGATATATTCGAATGCCTTTTAAATCGGATAAAAATTGTAACCTCTGACCACAAGCTAAAAAGCGATTTTTCGTACAATCAGGCGCTATAATCCAGAAAGTTATAATCAGATATGTCATTTTTCGTACACTCAGAGGTCATAATCCATGACGTTACGGTCCAATACATGCCAATTTCGAAAGAAACCGAGATCTTTGGGAGATAGACCTATATTTCAAGTCTCGTCAATTTCGGATAAAAAAATTTGACCTGCTATAATTGAATGGGTTTTTACAATCAAATAAAAACTGTTACTTCTACTGGGTCCACGGTTCGTAAAATCAGGGGCCATAATCCAGGACGTGACGGTCCTATATACGCCAATATCGAAAGGAACCGAGATCTTTCGGTAACAAACGTACATTGTAAGTTTCATCATGCATTATGCATATATTTGTAAAGTTCGGCATCACAAGATTAAACCACCATAGATTGTGTTTTTATGGTAAGGGAGTTAAAAATGAAATAAAATTTCACTTCATTGCTGATTAATTTTATTAGCCAGAAATCGCTTAGAAAGCGTCTCCGACAATCTAGATCCCCAAGAGCTTCTGGGGCCTAGGATGGTAGCCCCCCCCCCAATCAAAAATTGCTTCCATCGGCCCTGAGTTGACATAACATTTGTATAGTCTGACGCCCCACGCCCCACACGTACACCAGTAACCGAGCTTTTAATTTTTCGGAACTGGTCCTGAAAATTTTAGTCATTGTCATGGCAAATGGAACCAAATTCTCGCTAACGAGAGGATAAGAAATGAGACAGAATCTTGTGGCCTAATCTGTCAATTTCGCCTGTTTTGTAATTGTTTGTTTACCTCATTAATTCATTTAGTCTGAGACCGACTGCGGTGAGTACTTTTTTTGAGACCGACTATTTTTTTGCCATGGGGGAAAAACATTTCATAGAACAATATACTCACAACAGAATACGAGTGACAAACATTTTTTCAAACATGACAAGCAGACATGGTTATTTTATACTATAGTTTTGTGTGACATATGCAATTTAGGTTCACGGATTCACAAAAATACATAGTATTTGGGATCTATTCTGGCATTGTTTGTTTACCTAATTAATTCATTGAGTCACCAATGCATAATTTTTATACGGACTGCAGTGACTGCACTTATTTTGAGACCGACTATATTTCTCCCTGGGGGAAATTTTGTTCATAGACCAACATACTCACAACACTTATTTTGATACCGACTGCTCTTATTTTGCGACTGACTGCACTGATTTTGCGACCGACTATTTTTCTTCCTGGGGGATGTACCCCCCCCCCCCATTTACGCCCCTGCCCCTGGGGTTTAACACCTTATCGAGATGAAAAGTAAGATGTGAAGTGTTATCTAACTTTTCACTAAATGATGCTATTTTTTGCTCATTATTCAGGGTTCAAAGCCTTACAAAGTCTAAGCCTGTCGATATGTGACAGCACAACACACATAAAGTACAGAAACATTTTGCATCCCTGCTCTGCTTGATCACATCAGTATATTATAACATTTTTCGTGGCCTTGGTGGGTCAGACCCGCTATGAGAAATGCCATGGGGACCATGATGATCATGGGTCAGGACTAGTATATCTCAGGTTTGTATTGAAAAGAATCTTCAGGGGTTTTAAGCTATTTCGTGAGGTTAGATGGCCGAATGGTTAGCGTGTGCACACTGTATCATAAGGTCTGTCATTGAGGCAACTGGCGTGGTTTCGATTCCACGGTTGTACGTGGCAAGAAGTAGGGTTGCTTGCCCAACCTTTTCTTCAGGTCCTCCGGTTTGCTCCCACTGCTAAAGACCCCTACATGCAAGCAAATTACTGAAATAAAATTGAACCATATGTTAATCCCGAAATGACCTAGTTTGTGTCGAGTGGACATTAAACCCCATTTCTCTCTCTTTACCCTATTTCAAAACGAAGCAATTTTCGACCTTCTCACAACTCAAAATTAAAGTACAACACACTTTATATTTCAGATTTTATTTTTCTATAAATTTATATATTTGTACAAAAAAATGAAATAAAATTAAAATATATTACATCTGGGTGATTTGTGGAATGTTTGTATGTTGGAATGGTGATTGTTTAAAATCAGTCATGGTAGCATGAGGAACAAAGGAACACATTTGTTTTACAATATTAACAAAACAAATTCTGAAATGATGAGTGTTAAAAAAGGTTGTGTATCTATATTTTGAAAGCAGTAATTACATGGTAACACAATTCTTAAGCAAACATTAAGCAAAACATAGGCGTAAATCTTTATCACTTGGACCACCCACCCGTAACAAGTGCTCCTTGAACTTCCCAAATTTCGTTTCATTTTTATTATACTTTCGATAGCCTACACTACATGAAGATCTGACTAGTTGTACTGGAAGGTTGCGTCAGGAGTCCGACATTGATTAATCAATCAGTGTTGAGTTGACGTGTCTAGTTGATTACCCACAGTTCTGTGCAAGGCATGCCAAGAAGTCTCCGTAACAGACCGTTTCATTGGCTAATCCCTCACATCATCCACAACACAGATCAATGATAACAACTCTTCCAGATCCTTGTGTAGTACAGGCAAATAAAACAAAATTTTTAACTATAAAAAAACGAAAGAAATGGGATCTGTGTTTTAATCAGATAACTGTATCAGATTGCTATTTTTACAATGGATTGAATACACGTTATAATTTCAACTGATTTAGCATATTAGCATATATTTTAAAGCATATCACTAGTATATGCAGATATGAAATGAAAATTAGCTTACAGCTTAATGAGGTAACTATATGTATATATCCAGTGAACAAAGTCCTGAGAAATAAAATAAGCTTAAATTATCATCTCAGTGGTTTAATAGATAGAGTCTTTACTCTTGGGGAGTCGGAAATTCCCATACCAAGTCAGATACCCCAAAGGGCAGGAGCTGACTGTCCATACACTCATTTGGTCAAAACAATAAATAATGGGTCGGTTTTATGACCCAGTCTACTACCACACGAGGGTTAGGGAACTCAGAATTGTCAATAGATGGGTTTTCCATATGAAAATAACCCTCCTAACTGACCTGATCTCCCTAACCTGAAAATAGACAATTATCAGGTGTTCATCTGCTTTGTTCTGTGGGAACAAATCATGGGACCCTGAGTCTGAGTCAAGTCCTAAGTCGCTGGTTTTAGTACCAAGTCCAGTTGAGTCCAAAGTCTTCACAAAGCCCGAGTTCATCAAATGAACCAGCAATTTATGACGAATAGGGTAAGTTAAAGTTATGCACTCTCGCCGGACTTAAGTCCTTGGCTCTTTCAAGTTGCGAGTTGTCACTTCAGCCGAATCTCGAAGTAGTATCTAGTCGCAAGTTGGCTCATTGATGTGACTTAAGTCGGACTCGAGTCCAAGTCGCGGGACTCGAGTCCAAGTCGCGGGACTCGAGTTCCCACCTCTACTGATGAGCTACTTTTTCTCGCTCTCACATAACTCATATTATTGCCTGTCTAACAATACAAAGTTTTTATAATTGAGAAGTAATTAATTAACACAAATAATTTACAAAATGATCAATTTGTACAACGTATGATTATAAAAAAAATGATTGAAATGATAAAATGATTTAATTAAAATTTCAGGAATGATTTTAAAAATCTGTCGAACATTGTATAGTATTTACAATTATCATAATAAAATAAAAACTAAGTAAAAAAAAATAACAAAATAATTTGTTTAAACACACACAAGTATAAAAATGTACAATATTTTAACAACAAAATCGTCACCAATTCAATAACAGTTTAAACTAAATATAAATAAATCATGCTCAAAGCAACAAATCTTGTTCAAAGCAACAAAGAAAGTTTTTAGCGTATGACGCAAGGTGATCCAGCACTTGCCCTAAGATGCAAGAAGATCTACTGTCTTATTCATGAAAGGGTCTAGCATGTTGCTAATACCAAGGATGGAGATGATGAATTTCCTTTCTCGCCCTCCCATTCCCACCCATACAGTTAGCTAGGGTCTAGCATGTTGCTAATACCAAGGATGGAGATGATGAATTTCCTTTCTCGCCCTCCCATTCCCATCCATACAGTTAGCTAGGGTCTAGCATGTTGCTAATACCAAGGATGGAGATGATGAATTTCCTTTCTCGCCCTCCCATTCCCATCCATACAGTGTTAGCTCAGCTTGAGAACAGATACTAAGCTAGTTGGTCGCCATTTTAAGTCCTAAATCGATGATTTTAGTCGAAAACACTAAGTATATTGCAAGAATTTTGAGAATTGTTGGATATGGCGACCATTTAGAGCAGAGATCTATTCTCGAAGTACAAAGTAGATGGATCTCTGTGTGCAGCATTAAAATCACAACTAGCTCTTCTGGCTAGTGTCATGGGAAACATCTGTCTGCCATGGAAGCACTGAACTAGGCTTAAGTCCTATGATGAGGCTCATAACAGGCCTCAGACCACAATCTTAATCACTCCCATCCATATTCTAAATGAGATGATCCACCATTTTTGGGACGTAAGAATGATTCATGTACCTCCATCAGCGCTGGCTGGGCGTCCATTAGCAATCATAACAATCCCAAATTCTTTATTTAGTTTTGTTACTTTGACAACGAAATGATAACCTAGCTTAACAAAACAATAGTGCACCATTTCATAATGATCTAACGATCCCCCACCACCCTCTACCGGCATTTCTATTGAAGTATATTTATAACAATCCTTTATTTAGATTTGTTACTTAGACAACAAATCATATCCAAAGAACACTAAAAACCAAAGAACATTATTTTTTAACGATCGAGCAAGCTACCCGCACTTCAGTGGAAAACCAAAACTCACAACATTTATATTGACATATTTACAATAATACATGTATATTAATAGCACTTAATTATTGCTATGCATAGGGGAAAACTTAGCCATTAAGATCGTCCCTTCAACACAATATTACGGTATGCAAGGCGTATGCCTGTCTTCACTAGCTCGGATGCGGCAGAAAAGTAAGTCGTTAAATCCCATGTCATTTCTATTCAGACTTAACATACAAATGTGTGCAATGCTAGGGAGGATAATGATAATTTAGCCTAGGCAGCAGTTTGTCACATACTTGTCATTGAATTCCAATTGTGAATGTTTTTTTTTTTTTAACATTCAGACCGAAATGTTAAAACACTAAGGAATGTGATAAATGAAATGGGGTTTAAACCAGACTACTCAAAGGCTATAAGTAATTAGCATGCATATTTACAGCTTAACCAATTTAATTTCTAGTTCTTAGGTAAATAGCCTCTTAAGCCTTGGGTGTTTAAAATTACAAAATGCGTAACCCAGAACTTTCTGTTTTTTTAAATTAGATTTTTTCAAGAAGCAAAATTTTTCATAAGTGTTCCTGAAAAAACCCAAAATTTTAAATTGTGTTAGCCTAAAGCTTGGCAAGCAGACAATCTGTTTTGAGTTATGTCAGTTTCTTTTGCTATCCACTGCATACAGGGGTTCTACTAAGCTAAATTAAGGAGTCTCGAAATACCCTATATCCTAAGCGATGGTACCGTTAATAAAATGCTAATCATTATCATAGAAAATAAGCGAAAGTTGATAAAAATTAGAATATAATTAGGATAGGACATTATTATAACAGGACATGTACATCTTGATTCACCTCATCCCTTATTTCATATCTCAGCTCCTTATTTCATATCTCGGCTCCCTATTTCTCATTTCAGCGCCAACAGTCCCAGATTAGATGACGATAGGTCCTAGTCTATTCCACTATTGAGGCCCCTCCCAATCCCCCATCTTCACACGACTAAAGGAAGATGAAGGTGTGTTTTAAACACAATTGAGCAAAGCTGAGGAAGATGACTGGATGTTTAAGACTTTCAGTGTGTATAAGAAAGGCTTTGACAGTTTCAAAAATATAATTTAACAAAGCCGAGGATAATGAAAGATGTCTAAGACTACAGTGTGTATAAGAAAGGGTTATGACAGTGTCAAAAATATAATTAAACACCCACTAGATCTTGAGACCCTTGGCTTAAGCCTGCCATTATTTCACACTTTGTTCCTATTTCACATTTTAAATCCCCTTTTCACATAACTATTCATTTTATCCATACTCCTGTTAGAGTCTCACTATCACTTCAATCACATCTTTGTCCTTTTTTTCACATCCAGTTCCTTCACACAACTGTCTCTTATATCATTATCCAGTCCCTTCACACAATTGTGCCTTATTTCATGTATTGGTCCCTTATTTCACCTCTGAATCCCTTCGTTCACACCCCTGTCCCATACTTAGATTCATCTTCACTATCACCTTTCTTATTTGAAATAGATTTGATTGTTGATTTTATAGAATCTAAAATAGACATGACAGCTTTCTCATCTACTTTGCGCCCTTGTAACGAGGAGCGACTTCCTCGGGTAACAGGGAGAGGATGAGACAGTTTTTGTCCCAGTAATGGATCATCCTCTGCTCCAGCGAAATTAGCGGAAGAGCCATCATGGATGGAACGATTGAGAGATGATATAGAGGCAGCACGAAGAGCTTCCGCAGATGAATTAAGAAAATCCTCTTTGTCCTCAAATATTGGATCAAAGCGGATATATGTGGAAGATCGGTGTTCCTTATTCTTATTTTTATCTTTATCTGCTTTTGGCGATTTGGGTGATTTAGGTGATTTGGGTGATTTGGATGATTTGGATGATCGACTAGTTTCTGGTGATGGCGCTGTTGCTGGTCTCAATAACGATTCAATATCTGATTTAACATTCATTCTCTTTTTCGAGCTATTGATGGTCGCGAATAAATTACTGGCACTTTTTAAACCTACTTTACGCTGCGAACTTTCATTCGTAAACTCTTTCAACTGATCGATGTCCGTGATTCCGCGTCGTCGATTGTCCCGTTTGTCACTTGGATCTTGAGGCATGGGTAGAAGACTTCGGTTATCGGTCACGTCATCATTTTCTCGAACTGCCACTCGATATGAAGAATTACGAGCAGCCACATCAGCGGATGAAACAATGCCATTTGTCTGCCTCACTGCCATTCTGTAAGAATCTGCTCGGTTCACATTAATGTCCACTTCTGGTGTCCGTGGAGATGAATTCTTTGAGTCAACAGATCCAGCAGATCTTCTTCTGCTCTTCAAGTTTTCACTTTCTTTGTTGACAGCAAATCTGTAGGATGGGGCTCGAGCTGTTGATGGAGATGATTCTTGTGACCGTGGAGATGAACTCTTGGAGTCAGCAGACATTCGTCTGGATTTTGAATGTTCACTTTCTTTGTTGACAGCATATCTGTACGATGGAGCTCGGGCAGTTGATGGTGAGGAACTGTCGCTAGCATCGTTTCTCATCGCAACTCGATAAGAATCAGTCCGACTTGTATTCGGTGATGACCTTTCTTGACCTTGAGATCTTGACCTTGGCCTTTCTTCTATTGTTGAGACAGAATGTGTTTTGCTAGAGCTGTGACGACTTGGCCAGGTATCAGAATGAAGTGCTACTTCTGACCCTGTAGACTGGTTCATCACAACCACTGTTGGAGAATATGTTACGGGGACTGACATCTGATGGGTTAAACCTTGTTTATGTGATGATGTGTTTTGAACGGAAGAAGAGCGGCTGAACTTGTTTATGGGTCTGGTTGTCTTCAGGGTGTCGTCGTGAGCTGAATTCAAAATAATACTGTTACTATTGATATCTGTACCTTTAGCGGTTTTTCCAGCTGCCTCCAGGAGAGCAGACGAAACACGATACGTATCCATTTTTGGTGCATGTTGTTTTGATGCACTTTCACTAGATTTTGCATCTCTGCTCAGTGTCAGGGTGGAGTTATTAGGGGTTGAAAAGGGGCTGGACATACTCACGTATGTGATACTGTCATCGATGTCCGACAGATTTAAAGAGCTGCAACTGCTCAGATTATCCATGGATCTGTTTTTTAAGTTACTGCTCATATCCATGTATCCTCCCCTATCCATGGATAAAGAACTGGATGATATTTCTGATGGAGCAGTGATTCGTACGCCTTTAAGATTACCTACAGCGTAATGATTGGTCGGTGTTGATGTTGAACGAACATAGTTTTTAGAACTAACATCACAGATTGGAGACTTTGTTCCGTCCCCCGGACGACCTTTTGGAGTGACTGTTATGATTGGTTGATATTTTATAGGAATAGTTTCCTTGGATACATCTGCACTGTCATCAATGAATGGAATAGCCAATCGATAACTGGGATTTTTGCCATCTGCTGGGGAATTGACCTGACCCGACGACCAACTGTCTTCCGATGATCCTGATAAATCTGGAAGTGGATCGACCATGTTTACAACAGGGTCAAAGTTCAAAGTTTTAGATGGTTTTGATGCATCAACAGGAGACTTGTCTGTTTTTAGGATACCAGATTTCTGAGATCTGGGCCATGAATTGGGATAATCTGGGACCTCTTCTTCATCCCATTTTTTCTTACTGAGATATTTGCGTGTTCTGGGTAGTGTATTTCCTGAATGATTCTCCTTGGAATATTGTTGCGGTTCTTCTTTTTCTTTTAGTTCGTCATCCGCTGTTTTGGAAATGTTACCTGACGAATTTGGAGAGAGACGAATTTCCTCCCCACTGTCTGATGGAGAGACTGAACACCACGATGGATATGCTAATGACGTGGGAATACGAGTTTTTGATTTTAAGCGTGCGTAGATGGTTTCTTGATCCGATTCGGAAAATGATTTATCTGTTACATTTAAACTTGCACTACTTCCGTCGCTAACGCTTGGACTTGCTTCACCAATTTCAAACGTTGTATTGGATATGGGAACGCTAATACTCGTCATGGAACATGTTCTTTGTGGTGGAGGAGGTGCAAGCTTCACAGATACTCGTTTCAAAACAGTTCCTTTTCCTTTTCCAATTGTTGCTCCTGGACCAGACGTTGGTCGGAAGATAACGCTATCAATTGTGGTTGTACTACCCATACTGAATATTGTCGAATGTTCTTTGGTTGGCGAAAGTTCTCCGTCCTCCTCGGCTAAATTCGCGTTGCTACGTCTCAATCCACTGTCGTTATGAAACGACGTGTAAAACCCGTCCTGATCAACGGAAAATTCTGAGAACTCGTCTTCAAGTTTTGGTTGATTGTTCAGATCAGGAGACATGAGGTCGAGAGCGAGAATATTCTGACGGGTCAGTCGGGATAAAGAACTGAGAGTATCAGCACTACTGGATGATATTTCTTCACGACTTGCTGCTCTGATAGCCAGACTCTTCAACCATGCATCTGTGTCCATCTTAGTAAATTGGTCCCGACAATCACTATCAGTATCAGCTGTCACACTGGATTCCTTGTATGTTGTTGTGTCTGTTCCATGTCTGAAAAATACAATAAAAAAAGAAAATTGAGAGAGATAACAATTGGGATTTAAACATACATAATGAAAGAGCTAAATCTTGCAGGTCTTTCTAAACTATTAGTTGTATATTTATTAAACATACATTATTCAAGAGCTAAATCTGCCTATTGCAGGTCTTTCTTTAGGCCTCAAATGTTATAGACATGAATTAACTTATCCAAAACATAATCAACTCTCGATGGCATCGGATACTTGAGATTTTAACTACAGTGGACTCTGTCACATCCTATCTCTGATCACTCCGGATTGCTGTGACATCCGGTATGATTTTCATGTCCCGATTTATTTCCTTATTACTTCAGCCAAAAAATCACTGGTAAATCCGAATTCTGTATGTTCCAGATTCCGAAATCAATCAGCCGTCCCGTCACATAATTTCCATTGAATCGACACCGTATAATCCGTACTTCAAACGGTGGGTGTGCAGCATCCAATTATCGGTGAGATTAAAACTCGATGGGTGTGAAACCAGAAAAGATTAACAAGTAATCACCAATCAATTATCGGTGAGATTAAAACTGTGTTGATTACTTTGATCGGTAAAGCAGTGAACCCGAGTTGTTTTAAGGGATTTGACAAGATCTACCTGCCAGTCAATTGGTCGGCCAATCGCAAAGCTTGGATGACAGGTGCCGTTTACTTTGATTGGCTTGAAAAACTGGACATAGAACGACAGATTATAAATGACAATTTACTGAAGACGGGGACGATGAAGAATATACATTAACGACAGACTTGACCTATTCAAAATTCCTACGCATGCTCAACGACATTAAACACTTCGCACAGATTAAGGACGAAAAGATGATCGCAACAATTCATTTGTTAGAAGATGTTGCCCAGGACTCCGCCTTACGATATGCTTCCGGTAATCTTAACTAAGCAAACTACTTTAAACGATTACATGCATTGATATTTATAAATATATTGTACGCATGCATTAATATTACATGTAAACGATTTATGAATATATTGTACGCATGCATTGTTATTGTTAATTATTTAATATAATAAAATTTTGAAAGTACAGAAAAGTTTATCATTTATAAAGGGAATAGCATTCTGGTGATTCGAAGCTACAATATAAAAATTCTTCCGGTTTTCGAAGTTACAGTATTTCCGGTTTTGGAGAAAACTCGGTATTCCGAAACGCTGTGTGATCCGAATTATTGTAACAATCCCGCACGATGTCGGATGTGACAGAGTCCACTGTACATATAGATTACAACGGTTCGCCATTTAAAAATTTAACTTAAAAATGGGAAAGCGAGGCAAAGTCTCATGTTATTCCTTCCCTTGAGAACTTCTATGTACAACAATTTTGTGTCCATTTTCCCATTTTAAATTGACAAAAAGATAGATATCATTTACCGCATTATGGTAATTCCAATTAAGAGAGAACCTACCTGTCTTCACTGAGTGATGGAGAATCACGACCGGAATCTTTACCAAGTGAAATAGCTGAATATGATGATGGCATGCTGGATTTACCCGATTCCATAGACTGACGATTACTACAGCTACTAGCACTCCAATGACCTGAAAATATATCACGCATAAAATATAAACAATGTCCTTATCTACTTGATAAAAATCACATGCAAACAGAGAAAGAGAGAGAGAAAAATGTGGTTTAACATTCATTTCTGGACTAACATAAGGTTCAGTTTTATTTCAAAAATTCGCTTGCGTGTAGGGGACTTAAGCAGTTAGAGGAAACCTTCTCTCAGACTGTTTACAACTGTTATGTTTTTCTTTTTTTTTTAAAATAAAAGTACCAATACTTTTAATGTGTATGGTTTTAAAGTCTATATTTAACCTGTATCCTGCCATATTGGGACTCTATGGTCTTAAACTCTATATACATAACCTGTATCCTTCCATATTGGGACTCTACATGTATGGTCTTAAAACTCTATATTTAACCTGTATTCTGCCAATTTGGGAATTCTGCCATATTGGGACTCTACATTTAACCTGCATCCTGCTATGTTGGGGACTGTACGGTTTTAAACTCTATATTTAACCTGTATTCTGCCAATTTGGGGATTCTATGGTTTTAATAAAGCCTTTATTCAACCTGTATTCTGCCAATTTGGGAATTCTATAGTTCTAAAGCCTTTATTCAACCTGTATTCTGCCAATTTGGGAATTCTATGGTTTTAAAGTGTATATATAACCTGTATTCTGCCAATTTGGGGATTCTATAGTTTTAATAAAGCCTTTATTCAACCTGTATTCTGCCAATTTGGGAATTCTATGGTTTTAAAGTGTATATATAACCTGTATTCTTTCAATTTGGGGATTCAATGGTTTCAAACTATTAAATTAGCAACCTCAAAAGTTTTTCAAAGTTAAATAAAATAAATTTTTAAACAAACCTGATGATGATTGCCTTTCTTCTTTTGGTCTTCGCTTAGAAATTTCACGAAGTTTAACGGCTGTCGTCCAATCTTTGGGTAAACTTTCCCAGGGGAAATCGTATTTTTGGGCTTGTGCTTTTGGTAGGGTGTTACTCTCAAAATAATAATAAGAACCAGGTCCAACTGAACTTTCTGATCCACTAGCTCCACTCATAATTCCTGAAATAATAATTTAAACATTTAACATGTGAAATGCAGTCCTAGAAACAATGAATTTAGTTGTACAATGTCAATCTGTTTCACAGTGGTATTGCGAAGACTATAATAGCTCTGTAAAAGATGACTGCTTTATCATTTGACGGCTCCATTGTACATACCCATTTACACTAAATAGGAAATATTGTTTACCTACATATACTTGAAACACCTTTATTTATTTTTCTAATGCTTAAAAAAATTGTTCTAGAATTTAATTTGCAGCAGGAAAAACGTTAATATTTGGGTCTCATTAAGTTCCTATCAGTGACTGTAGCGGGCTAGCAAATATTCACTGCTGATCAGTATGGTACAATGTAATTGACAAATGAGAGAGAGAACATGGGGTTTAACATCCACTCGACACAAACTAGGTCATTTTGGGACTAATATATAGTTCAGTTTTATTTTATTAATTCGCTTGCGCGTATGGGTCTTTAGCAGTGGGAGGAAACCAGAGGACCTGTAGAAAACCCACAAAGTTGAACAGGCAGAGCTAATCCTTGTCACGGAAAACCAGAGAATAGAAACCAGGCCAGTTGACCATACTCGTCACATGCAAAAGGGGACTTGAAACCATACTACTTGAATCAATGACAGATCTTATGATCTAAAGTGCATGTGTTAGATCCTTCAGCCCCCCAATCCAATTCAGTAGGAAAGCCTCAGGAAAAAACAATCTATAGGCATCCCCAGATTTACAAACAATCACACAGCACACCACAAACATGTATTTACCTCTCCCTCGGGCAATTGCACTTAATAAATCTAAACAAATCTATTCATTTTTTTACTCAAATTCAAAGAGAGATTAATCTTTTTAGTTTTTGAAATTAGATTAATAAAAACTATTCTAGACATACCATCAGGCATACTGTTGGCATTGGGTATATGCATCGTACTCTTAGCTCGAGCTGGAGACGGTTCTGGTGCAGCATCAAAATCTAATGCATCCAGATCTAATGACTTCGGCCGTGATCGAGAAACACTGCTGGAAACATTTTGAACCATGGATTTGATCTTGTTTCCGATGATACTTGATCGTCTGGTAGCTCGTGAAAATCGACTGGATGCAATTGAGACGACACTCTGACTTAAATTTGTGCTACTTGCGTAGCTATGGCTGGTCGTGCTCATACGATGCTCAGTTGACAAACATCTCTGTCGTGATTTCACGCTTCGAGGTAATGAGCGAGTTCTTCTGCACGGAATAAACTTCATGTATCTTGGTTCTTTGGCTGCAATTTCATCCTCTATATATTCTTCGTATTTGGCGTCGATTTCATTAAAATACTGCGCCATTATCTCATCCTTCTTGGGATCATCCTCGGCATCGAGATCATCGAAGCTGTAGGAACGAGGCTGTATTCGTCCACCAATTCTTTTCTCTTTCTCAAAGACTTTGATCTCTTGCAGGATATTATCCGAAACCCCAGATACCGTTCGGCGCCGTTTGGATTTGCCAGAGGAATCTGACTTTAAAGACTCGCGGAAAGAACACATGCGGTTAAATGCAGACCCTGACGTATCTATGACAACGGTGCTTGGTTTTTTATTTGGAGTTAACTGCTCTTCTTCTGCTGTAGCATTTTCATCAATATGTAGATCATCCAGTGCCACAGTTTTTGGTCGTTCACGAAGTTTGAGTTTTTTGTAATCCTTTTTAAATGATAATACAGGCTGCATCTAAAAATAAAATGAACGTAAAAATCTTATTATAAACTAGGTGGGATTAGGTCACCTGTATAGCTGTACACCGGTACAGGTGTTTACAACAGTGGCAGGATCAGCATTCTCCAAGATTAGTGAAATACAGTGCCAACGATCTGGAGTATACATCATATACATGTACATTACATGTCCTGGCCAAAGAACACAAAACATGTTCATGGAAGTTCGGAAATGACATGCTTTGAATGAATAGTACATACAATCAATTTTTAATTTTTAAAGTCTGTATGATGGTTGGAGAGAGAGAGAGAGAAATGGGGTTTAACGTCCACTCAACACAAACTAGGTCATTTCGGGACTAACATATGGTTTAATTTTATTTCAATAATTCGCTTGCGCGTAGAGGTCTTTAGTAGTGGGAGGAAACCGGAGGACCCAGAGAAAACCCACGAGGTTGGACAGGCGACCCTACTCCTTGTCACGTGTATAATGGTTGGGGCAAGGGGGGGGGGGATGCATCACCACTGTCTCAAGTCCCCTTGTCAGTGGAGGGAGGCATTTGAATTGGACGAGCAAATCAAGGTACCATTGGGAGCATGTTAAAAATCCCCTGACAGTTGGACCTGTGTATATACCATCGGTGTACGTTAAAGATCCCCTGACAGTTGGAGAGAGAGAGAGAGAGAGAGAGAGAGAGAGAGAGAGAGAGAGAGAGAGAGATGGGGTTTAACGTCCACTCGACACAAACTAGGTCATTTTGGGACTAACATATGTTTTTTTTAAATTTTATTCCTATAATTCGCTTGCGCGTAGGGGTCTTTAGCAGTGGGAGGAAACCGGAGGACCCGGAGAAAACCCACGAGGTTGGACCTGACAGTTGGACCTGTATATACCATTGGTGTACGTTGAAGATCCCCTGACAGTTGGACCTGTATATACCATTGGTGTACGTTAAAGATCCCCTGACAGTTGGACCTGTATATACCATTGGGAGCACGTTAAAGATCCCCTGACAGTTGGTCCTGTATATACCATTGGGTGTACGTTAAAGATCCCCTGACAGTTGGACCTGTATATACCATTGGGTGTACGTTAAAGATCCCCTGACAGTTGGACCTGTATATACCATTGGGTGTACGTTAAAGATCCCCTGACAGTTGGACCTGTATATACCATTGGGTGTACGTTAAAGATCCCCTGACAGTTGGTCCTGTGTATACCACTGGGTGCACGTTAAAGATCCCCTGACAGTTGGACCTGTATATACCATTGGGTGTACGTTAAAGATCCCCTGACAGTTAGACCTGTGTATACCATTGGGTGCATGTTAAAGATCCTCTGACAGTTGGAAATCGAAATAAGAGTAGGATGTAGTGCCGCTGTCAGGGCAAAATTTCCTTGTTAGCTCAATGCCTGGAGTATGCCCGTCTGCTTGACTTTGGTTGGTGCAGAAAGGTAAACTGTTAAACCCTGGTTCATTTCATTTTATTCCCATGTCGTCATCGTGTTGTTTATCAAGGAAAAGCACCATGAACATCATCAAGACCTTCATATTCCCATCTTCATTACCCCGGATGGGGCAGAGAAGTAGGACATTAAACCAATATAGTGGACTAGATCTTATAACTGACCTGGGTATCCATCCTTCGACTACTAGGTCAGTCTATTATTCATTTGTTTTTTTCGGCAGTATTTATATCCAATCTAGTGGCCCAGCCGACCAAGGAGAGAGAGAGAGAAATGGGGTTTAACGTCCACTCGACACAAACTACGTGTAGGTCATTTCAGGACTAACATATGTATTTTAATTTTATTTCAATAATTCGCTTGCGCGTAGGGGTCTTTAGCGGTAGGAGGAAACCGGAGGACCTGGAGAAAACCCACGAGGTTGGGCAGACGACAGCCCACCTGTGTATAAACATATTCAAAATCAAAGTCAACTCACTGTCTTTGGCAGATTAAGATCTTGGGTTTTGAGTTTAGGTTCGTTGTGGAACACCGGCCATAGTTTAAACAATAGAGAACTGTAGAGGCCATCTTTACGATATGCGTCTGCCTCACGTAAAATCTTGGCTGGTGTGACGTCAGAGAGGATGTACTGATCCTTGACACACTGTGGTCGTGATTCCGCTGTGAACATGTGACAGTCGAAGCCATGATATGCAGTATGATGATCACCAACGGTGGAAAACTTCTTTAAATCTCCAACAGCTGAAAAACACAAACAAATAAAATTAACTAAAAATGTTGCAATCAAATGTATTTCTATTTTTGTAACCTAAAAAAAAAAACATCTGCAAATAGTATCGCTTATAAAACAATTATGTGGGCTCAGAATCAAAGTGGATATCTCCAACTTTGATTAAAGCTCACCATCTGGCACATACATGTAGTCACTTCTAGCACTGAAATACTGATGCCAGAACTGGTATGTGACACATATTCACTTTCTGGCAGGACAGTTTTGCACTATTAGGAGTGACACTTCTAGTTCTGAGTCCTCGATTAATTAGAACATTCTAGAGTTGACTTATGGCAATGAAGATCAGAATCTGCCAATAGCGTTGAAAATGCATTGGTTATACATGATTTTTTCTATTGGAAAGGAGTGGCAAATAGTCCTAGGGGCGCATAACTCTGAATCCAAAGCATGCCATTGTATCCCCTTCACATTAGTACTGACATTTGGGGGTCAAAGTTTTTGTAAGACGAACAATAAAAGTTACTTATTTTGTAATTCAAAATAAATTTAGCAGTTTCCCGTTTTGTGTTTTTCGGTTTTTTCTACAACTGTTATTTGAAAATAAAAGTTTTTAATGTTTTTTTGAGGAGGGGTGGAAGTAGTAGAATTGCCTATGATGCAAAAAAGTCAGACACTAGCTCGACTGTTGTTATCCACTATTTTATTGTAGAAAATTCAAACAGAACTAAAACATTGTGTTTAAGATGGATTTGTCTCCCTTTTATAAAACTAACACAAATATAAGCAACATACATATATGTCTAACAAACCAAAGGAATTATATGTTAAAATGAAATGGGGTTAAACGTCCTACTGTTCTGCTTCAACTCGACTAATGAAGACAGGCATTCGCCATACAGTGTGTTATGAGGGAAATTTTGCACAGGCAGCGGCACTATGGCCTACTCTTATATTAAATTTCAACTGGCAAAGTATACATGGGTCCTCAGTTTTTTGTCCCATCCGAACGACTAGACAGCTGTCCATGTCAGGCCCTCCGTCCTGCACCACTGACAAGGGGAAATCCCACAGGAAAATCCCGATGAACTTTCTCGGTCAATGTAGGGATCAAACACGCGACCTCCAGACTAGCGAACCAGCATCTTACCCACTTAGCCACCATGGCTCCCATTATATGTAAAGCGTCTAGTCATGGTGGTTGGTATACAAAGTATGAGTAGGTTGTAGGACTGCTGCTGGGGCAAAATTTCCCTCATAGCGTACAGCATGGCTTTCACTGATCTTCATTAGACTGGTTGGTGTAGAAAAGTATCACTGTAACCCAGGTCTCATTTAATTTTGTGTATCTAGCACTAATTTCTTTCACCTTCATTCAATATCAAATCTTTGTTTCAAAATTCGTAAAAATCGTTTAAAATCACTCAAATTCATCTAATTTGTATTTGTGTCCACTTTAAAGCCGACTGATTAATTTTGATAATGAGTGTCCAATTTACAAGTATTTAATTTTAAAACAAAGATTTCATATCAAACGAATGTGAAAGAAATTAGTGCTAAATACACAAGATTAAATGATACCAGGGTTACAGTGTATGACGTCAAACCTTATTTCATTATTTAATTATTACATCCCTCCTACATTCACTTTAAATTTGATTATGAAAGTCTTCAACCAAAGACATATGTACTTAAAACCCTAACAACTTTAATATTAATTCATTTCATTTATCTAGAAATCTTATAATTCAATAAAAATAAAAATGGGAGTGTTAGTAAAAATCGAAAATAAAAAAAATTCCATTCATATTTGTTAAGTGATGCGTGATCTGATTCAAACGATTTAAATATCTGTGTGTGGTGGAAAAAACTGGTATAAAATATTTTCAACACTTGAATAAGTTTCATTAAAATACTTATAACATGTTCAGTAAGTTTTACTAATGTATATTTTATGTGGTAGACATCATGGGGTCTTTCTTACTGATAAACTTAAAGAGAGCAACTCTGTAAATATCTCTTTTACCAATTATTATAATGTTTTATATTTTACCTGTAGACTGCTATATATTTGTTTTACCACATAGTTTAATTTTAATTTGTTATGATTTTCTATCTATATTTTATCTGGGGGGTATGTAAATCCTATTATATTGTTTTACCAAATAGTTTATTTTTAATTTGTTATGATTTTCTATCTCTATTTTATCTGGGGGGTATGTAAATCATATTATATTGTTTTACCAAATAGTTTATTTTTAATTTGTTATGATTTTCTATCTATATTTTATCTGGGGGGTATGTAAATCATATTATATTGTTTTACCAAATAGTTTATTTTTAATTTGTTATGATTTTCTTTCTATATTTTATCTGGGGGGTATGTAAATCATATTATATTGTTTTACCAAATAGTTTATTTTTAATTTGTTATGATTTTCTATCTATATTTTATCTGGGGGGTATGTAAATCATATTATATTGTTTTACCAAATAGTTTATTTTTAATTTGTTATGATTTTCTATCTATATTTTATCTGTTTATTTTTAAATCCTATTATATTGTTTTACCAAATAGTTTATTTTTATTCTTTTATGATTTTATATCTTATTCTATTACATTGTGTACTCGTAATCATATATATATTTTTGTACATGTGCCACAGAGCAGCTTTACAAGCTGGATTTTTTCGCTATACAAGTTCAAATTATTATTATTATTATATAGTAATGTGGCTAGAGGGTTAGATCTATTTGATAAGGCCAACTGTAAGTTTGGTCAAAGGTCACGAGATGTAAACAGCGCTAACCCTAACCCTGGACCTAGCCCTAATGCTTACCTTAACCCGTGCTTTCTGTGGGGGGATCTGTAAAGAACCCTCACCTCCCAATAACCCTAACCTACAATCTCACAAACAATCACGAGCCCTAACCTTATTTACATCTCAGCAACCTTGACGACAATTGAGCTGGCCTTAACAAATAGATTTAGTGTTGAGTCACACAGTGGAAGGATATTGATGTGTATTAGGGGGAGTGGGATTCCACGGCAACCTTGGGGGAGGCACAGTGGCTCAGTGGGTGAGGTGGCACAGCTGCTAGCTAAGAAAGTCCTCTTGTGTTTATGCAGGGTGGTTTCCATTTGTCAGTGGTGCAGGATGGAGGCCCTGACAAGGACAGGGTCTAGTCATTCAGATGGGACAATAAACCGAGCCTCTGTCTACATGTATGTGTTGACCGACATTTAAATGAACCGTTGACAATTGGATTTTGAAATAAAAGTAAGTTGTAGTACTATTATCCAGACAAAATTTCCCTCATAGCACCATGTACATACGCTCGTCTTCATTAGCCCAATCATTTCATTTCATTATTAATAGAGTCTGTTACAGCCCCTGGATAACTTTACAGATTCATATAGCTAATTATCCAGACCTAAATGATTGATTACTTTATATTTTATAAATAGGAAATACTGGACTGGATGTCGTGACCTAATCCAGATTAATGGATAGATAACTCTATTATTATCTCGTCAACAGGTGCCATGTGACAATAAATCAATGTTACCATCCGTCTATAAATGATATTTTGTTTATCGAATAACATTTAATTATCTGTGCATTGTCCTGCGACTGATTTCGATCATGTTCAAAACAAATTATTTTTAGATTCAATTGGCGATTAAAAACAAGATGGTCGTTTAAAGCATATTATGTTACTAATAGGATATGTCAAATTAATTTAAGTAATAAATGACAGTGGTGGATCCCGAGGTAGGATGCAGAGGTGTAGAAACTCCTCCATAGTCCATGAATAATGACAGTGGTGGATCCCATGGTAGGATGCAGAGGTGGAGAAACCTCTCCATGGTCCATGAATAGTGAATAGAACGTTTAATAGTGACATGCAGCCGAGGTGGCTCAGTGATTAAGGTTCTTGCTCACTAACCAGGAGGTACTTGGTTCAATCCTGTATTGACCAAGACAATTCTAGCAAGCAATATCCGTAGCACTGCTATTAAGGCAATTTTTACCCTTTACAAGCCTGACTGGTGCAGAAAAGAAGAATTTTAAACCCCATTTCCTTTCAATAGTGACACTTTTTATTTCAAGGCACCCCGAAAATTGTAATTTTATTTTGTTAGACAGTAGTGTAACAGAAATACAAAATAATTAATAAAAGCTTTAGAAAGAGAAAGAAAGTATGGATTGCAGTAATTGATTCCAGTCTACAAGAAGAGAATATGATTTTAATTTAATTTAAACATATTTTATTGTTCAATAAACAACTGGATAAGACACAAGTTTTACAACTTGTAAAAGTCTTCTCCAATACATATATACATATTACATAAATGAATACGTGTAGTGATTAAACCCTGTATGGTGCTTGCAACATAGGGTAAAAATTGGATGTGGTGAAACTCTATATCTATTTTCAATTTCTTGGGGATCATGTAATACGTGTAAATATCTTTTTATGCAGGCAGAGATAGGGGTTATAAATATAACGAATGAAAAGGGGTTTAATGGTCTACTAGACTAACGACGACAGGCATACACCATACTGTGTGCTATGGGGGAAGTTATGCCTCAACAGCAATTGGGATTCCAACTGTCAAAGGTTGTTTTACAAGCATGACAACTTAACCATACATTATGCAAGAGCTAAATCTGCCTATTTCAGGTCTTTCTTTAGGCCTGAGATGTTATCTAAATTATTAATTATACATTAAGTAACCTATCCAGGCCATAATCAACTCTAGATGGCAGCGCTAGCCTGCGATCTTTAGTGGATTGTAAGCCGATTTACTGCATAACTCTCCTTCTCGATTAAACGATTAAATGGATAATCGAGACTATGTTGTTTATCGGTACTGATGACCGAGGCTTATGGGAATTTCAGTCGCTTAGTTCTCGGTTCATAGTGGATCAATTTGAATGAAATTTTCACCAAATTGCCTTTACATTATCTAGTTTTTAACTATTATAGTGAGAACTGCCAACTC